ATTTGTGTAACAATGAAGTTCAATAAAAATTAATAATGTAAAGTTCTATGAACTATATATATGTGAATTATAGCATGAATGCACATTGCATGATCTTGAAAAGAGGGAGTTCGCCTAGAAAGAGGAGTAGATGATAAAATCTATGTGGTAAGGCCTATCCATGAGATGGTTTTCCAGATTGATTATATCTATACTGTCTCATTTATTTAATAAGAGACTATTCCACTAGTTTAATAAGGGACTCAAACCTAACTAGCTATCTACCAGTTCAATGAGGAGTTAGTCTAGGTGTATGATGCCTTATAGTGTGAGAAATAGGAAAAATCGTGTTTCACAAGTGAGTTGGGTGTGCTTTGATCGACTAATCTCCTCACAAGTGTTTAAGCTTGGGAAGTCATAGAATATAAACTATCTTATTGAGTTATAGCTCATAGTTTCGTGTCAGAGGAATAAGGAGGAGATAAGGGAGGTGTGATCATGCATATAGTGAGTAAAGGCATCTATTGTCTATATAGTGTCCCTAATGATGATATCATGAGTTAAATCTTAATTTCTTCGAATGTGTTTGTCAATGAATTGTGTGACTAACTCTCTTTTTATGAAAAGAGCTAAAAAGCATTGTTTTTCAAGTAAATGCTATTATGTGAGTGAAATTATGAATATATATTTTTAAATATTTTACACAGGTTAAAATATTGACATTAACTACCACTTGTATTTAAACTAATTGATATATATTAATATGAATTAGTCGGACCTTGGTTACTGAGTAGTTATACTCACCCCGTTATTTTCAATATTATAGAGAATAGTTCAAGAGATGTGGATAGAGAAAAACATCTAGAGGCTTAGGACCGCAATCCTTTTGTAGCAGGCCTTTTTATTTTGAGAAATCATATGTGTATGATAATTTCAATTGTTAATTAAAAATTCTTAATTGTTCCTTACTTATATTATGTGAATTGTAAATTGCAAGTGTATTTTGAACCTCAGGGAGTGAGTTGATGAATATGTGTTATTATGATAGGGTTAAAATACTAATGTAAGTGAGAGTAGAGCATTATAAGATGATTTGGTAAACTTGATAAAAATTGTGGTAAACTCTCCCTTTTTATGTTTTTGAGTTTAAGGGGTTGAGTAATAAAAATTTAATTTAAGAATATTTCATGGTGTATTGTAACGTCAGTCTTAATGATTTGTATATGATCAAATTGGTGTCGGTGGCTATTGGCTTTTACTATTTGGTTTGAACACTTGACTTTGCAAAAATTATTGTAAAAGTATAAGTTTTAAAAAGGGTATTCAATTTTTGTTTTAAAAAATAATTTAAGTCTAAGACTAATGCCATTAGTTGGAGCTCGAAAAGAGCCTTCTATAGACACTTAGTTTGCGTCATTTGAACATTGGACGGAGATTTGGGACGTGTCTAAAAGTTGGCCCTAATGCCATCAAATTGATAACAAAATTCATTGTCAAATTCGTGCAATTGCACCGCGGCGTATGGTGCCACGAGCCGTGGCACGTGTCACAGAGACGGACATGCCGCGGCGCATGTTCAAAGAGCCTTGGTGCATGTCTCAAAAATTTTTAAAAATTCTCTTGTTTTAAATTCTTAAACAAATGCACTCATTTACGTAATGATCCCATGCTTTCGCATATTTGTAAACTCTAATTTGTCTAATTGCGAGACTTTGAAAATAATTTTAGTTTTGTAAACTTAGGGTCCCTATTTTGCTAACCATTAAAAACTTGATATTTTATTAATTACTATAATCCCATTCCCTAATTACTTGAAACTTAGTTTTAATTATGGGATTAAAAGGAGGAGGATATTAAAAAAGTACTTGCATTTAATGCCTGTTTTTATCCTACTTATAGGCAATGATAAAAAGAAAATATAATAAAATAGGGACTATTTGATATATTACCCTCCGATTATAAATTTGAATATGCCAACTAAAATGTACGTGAGTGTAGAAATGGATACAAGGGGGTATGAGGGGTGGTTGCCCCTCATATGTTTTTTTTTTCTTTGTTTGTATTTAGTTCAAGTTTTTCTCTGTATTTGTAGAACTTGTTTTTAGCCTATCATATTTTATGTGATTTGAAATTTTTCCCTCCATATATAAGACTCTAGATCTATCCTTACATAGTAGAGGTTTTCATTACTTAAGTAAGTGATTAGGGGTTCAAACTTCAACTCTTGTGTGTGTCCTAATTTGGTTAGGAAAGGTCTATGCAATGCTCTTAGTACATTTGGGGAGGTATTCTTTGCCACCAGCAAAGCCCACTCTCTATGCTCATAAAAAAAAAGTATTTTTTCTCTAAATGTTATATGCTTAATATATTTTCGTACAATTAAATTAAGACAAATAAATTTTAATGTATTAATACTAATAACAAAAATTTGTTATGCATATAAGTAATATGTAAAAGATCCACATACCGTCATTTGATCGGAAACAAGTATCATGAACATATTAGGTTGACCAAGGAGCACCTGGTTTAGGTGAGTGATGATATAATACTCCAAATTTCTTAAGATGACAGATAATGAAATTAAAAAGAATAGAAGGTTAGGTATATAATTTTTTTTTCTTTTTGTCTTTTTGAATTAAAAATTGTTCAAGGGTGCATGTTTTCCAGCATGGCTTACCAGGAAAAAAGGGGAAAAGGTTAAATGATTAGATGATAAAATTACAAGTTTACAATGGTACATACAAACATGGAAGGAAGGTATCAAATATTTTCCATGAAGCTGGAAAGAAAATTTTTTATTTATTCATATTTTTTTTATATACGAATGTTTGGTTGCAAGTCTTGCTAATCAGCAGCATGTTGTGGATATATGGAAGATCTGAGTGATACTCCCCCCAACATCTTCCTGAAGGGCAAATATTGAAGAAAATATATATCTTTATACTATTTTTTCCTTATTTTATCGTGAGAAATTTTTAGGTAAATTAGATATATCATGTTATTTGTGGCCTGTTTAATAAAAAATATGACATTTAAATAATATTAAATATAAATTAATTTTGATATTAATAAAAGTAGAGAGAAAAAATATAAAAAAATTAAATATGCATATATTATAAAAATAAAATTAATTAAAACAATATCATATAATATCTTATTTAGATGATTTAAGGCTTTTTAATTGGACAGGCCACAAATGACATTGCGCACCCGTCCCCTTGAAAATTTCTCATTCTCCCATTTTTGGAATACAACACAAAATCCCCAATTTAACCTTTTACTTATAATTTTTATTTGATTTATTTAAAAATATGTGATACTAAAAACACAAGCCACTTCATAAAGATAAAGTCATATTTTTATATCTTTAATCTCAGTTTTTCCTCTGTTACACTGGAAATATTTACATCATGCTTTTATGCGAATCAGTGAAGAATGTTTTTTTTAATAAAACTATCTTGACAAGTACCAGCAGCTGAATTGAATCAATTATAGTAATTTATATTTTCAGCTTAAGAATAAATAGTAATTAATTGCTTTCAATGTATTTAAATTGTTCAGTTTGATTAATTAAAATTTGTCTTCTTTTTAAAATAGAGAATTGGGGTGATAAGACGACCCAGAACTAAAAGAGATGAGAAGTTAAGGAAAGAAAAAAAAAGAGAAAGAGGAGGTGGGGGGAGGCCTTTGTTTGAAGTACAGCAAAAATTCTGCACAATTAGGTGTGCTGGCGGTGGCGGTGGTGTTGAAAAAAATTTAATCATTTAAATTTTATAATTTTAACTTAATTAAAATTTAATTTTTAAATTTTAACTTGGTGGAACACTTAGACAACCCAATCTGTAAATTTATTGTAACTCCTTATAAATTAAATTATATTGAACTAAAATTTAAAAATTAAGTTGTAAATGAGTTAAATTACAGGCACAGTGTTATGCAAAGTTAAAGTTTATGGACCACGACGCCTACTCACACTGTGAGACATTTATGCCTCCTCCTCCTAAATGTGGCCATTACTTTATATGAATATATATATATATATAAATGCATATTTTCCTATTCCATGAAGTGTTCCGCAGCTCTCGACTTGACTGGGTCACTTCATCCTCAATAGTCCAGCCCACTTAGCTGGAAGGAATTAGAGAGAGAGAGAGAGAGAGAGTTATTTTTCTTTTGCTTTACCCAAACATTTTTTTTACTCTTCAATCTTTCTTCATAAAATTATATAACTCAATACAATTTTTGCTCATAAATGATGGAAAGAAGAGTAAAAACATGTTAAAGTGTATTTTTTATCCTTCAATTTTATTGTTGTTAGTTTAGTAATAGTTATTTTTTATCAATTATTGTTATTAAAAAGATTAAACTTAACATATTAATATTTAAAAGTTTTATGCAAGGATTTTTTTGTTGGTTAAATAATTTAAAGTATTAAAAATATATTTTATAAAATAAAAAAAATTAAAATGCGCCTTGAATTAAAATTACACTTTAGCCAAAATAAACAATACTGGAAAGTGGCGGAAGAGAAAAAGGTCGGGAAGCGATCGGGAAGCGCCGTGCGGGGCGCGTGGGCGTGAAGGGGCAGTGACGGACCTTGAGAGTTGAGTTGAGACGGCCACTTCAGCTATAGTGTGTTGTTGCGCATCGTGAATAGTGATGAGTGATTGACGATCGTCACAGTCCAGCCCACCAACACGTTCTGCTCTGTTATTAATATTATGCTCTGCTTCGGTGCAATTCATCCTCCCTGCGATTGGCAATTACTATAATCCAATATCACTGCTACCCTGCCACTTCATTTCAATTTTATTAATGTTCCTTCGGAAAATATAACTAAAATATAATTACCAGCGACATGGCGACACTGCCATTATAAAATGATGGTGTCCTTTTCCCACTTTTGTTTTTATTTAATATGTATACTTTCTCACATCATCTTTCCTTTAAGTCCTATTCTGTCCTCTAATTTCCCCCCCTATTTTCACTCCCTACCATTTTTTTAATATTTATATCTCTTCCCTTTCCTTCTCCCCAAATATCATCTTCATTCCTCTTTGCCATCCATTACCACTTCCCTCCCCACCTCCTTCCTTCCTCCCTCATCCTTCTCTTCTCTGTTTTTTCCTTACCCCTCTGCTTATTGCTGCTGCTGCTGCTGCTCTGCTTTTCTGGGCAACTGATTTCTCTGTTCCTTCTTCAAGCTTCGAGTCTAGCTTTTTAAAGTGTGTTTGTATTGGAGAAATGTATGCAGAGACTAGCCTCCTGTTCCCGTATTTCCAGAATTTCTCCCAAGAACTTCAACAGCTTGAGGAGTACTGCAAAACCCACAAGTTCAATGCTTCCATGGTACTCTTCACTCCTCTTTTACAAACTCTATCTTATCTTTCTTCACTGAGTTTCTCAGCTTCATCCTTTATCAGTGCTTCGTTGATCTGCATTTGGTTCGTGCCTTCTTGCTTGTTATTTTTGGAAAACATGAAAACTCCCTTTTTCTTCCTTTGCTCTCTTCTCTTCTGAGGAGTAAATGAAGAAAACTAAGTGTAACACTCTGTTTTCTAGTATCAGTTAAGTAAATTATATAGCAAGTTACGGTTCCTCACTGGATTGGTGATATCAAAGAGGAGAAGCAAAATATTTTCTTAATGCTTTTGCTTCTACTCTCCCTGGGAATTCATACTTTTTTCTATACCTTCACTTTGGACTATTTTCTCATTGCACAAACAGAACAAGCTGGAGTTTTCCTTATAAACTGGATCTGGAAAAGAAAACCTATGGGACAGGACATATAAACAAAAGAAGAACAGAGTATAAGTGGAAAATATTTCCCTTGTGCTAGTTCCGTGTTCTTTCTTCCTTTTTTTTTTTTGCTTCATTTCTGGTGAGACTTCTTAGTGGGATTTGTCTTTTTGTGTCGCACTGAGGGATATTAAAGAGGAAAAAGTTCTCATATTCTTTATTTCTTTATAGTAAAAAGAAGTTGGAGGAAAGGGGGTGATCAATGCTCAACTTAATAATTTCTTCACGGTCTTGTCGGGCACTAAATTTAGTTTGTCAAGGGAGCAAATTGTGCTGTATTGAATCTATTTCTGCTGCTGCTATGGCTTGCTGTGGTGGTGATTAAAACGAATTGCTTTTTTAAGGCAAGGAACACTTGTAATTAGGGTCGGTGCATTAGACTAATAAAAACCTTACTTATATGCTTATTTCCTTCAGTGGATTGTCGATGGGATTACCAAGTTTAATTCTTTTGGGTGTTTGCTGGAAGAAAATTTCGATCCATGTTCAACGAACTCAAAATAAAGTCTTTATAAATTCAATCGTTAACTGTCCCTGGACTCTTCTAAGTCCAGATTCAACTTGTATATATATATAAGCCTTTTCTTTTCACCAGGCTTCTGCTATGCACTATCAATTTGGTGTTTGGCACTTATATTTTGTGGTTGATTTGTAATGAAATTTAGAAAGTTATTGCCTTTAATTTTTAGAATAAATTACGCAAATCTCCCTCGATTTTCATATGCGCAAATTTCCCTTGAAATATGAAGTTACCGCACACTTTATTCCAATTTATTTTTTATTTTTTTTTACCAATGCACCCTCCATTTATCTATATTTCTAGTTTGAAAAATTAGATATTATGGTCAACGAAGGTTATTTTAGTTGAAAAAATCATACTTCAGTGTGTGCTAACCTTTGGCTCAAAAAAAAAAAAACCTTTTGTTTTAGGTAAGGTCTATATAATTTCAGCATAATTCAAGAGAGATTTCTGTAATTTTTTCTAATTTTTTGTTATTTAAGCTGATACATGCTCAAGGAATTTTGGGCAATTCATAGTTTGTACTTCAAATTCTTTAAGGCTTTGCTAAAATCCCTTTCTGAAAAGGTTCGGGGAGAATGTGTATCTGGCTCAGATCCTGTCTGCAGGCCTTGTTTAAGTAGGATGATGATGACATACAATTTGGACTTCCTTGCTGCTCAAACAAGTTCATAATTTGGACAATCATTGACTTGAAGAATTAGACAAGTTTCATCATGAAAACTTTTGGCATCGTTAAGCAAATTAACGGTCACAAACTTAACAGTTGAAACAATTGGATGATTACGAGAAGCAAAACGAGCTATTAGTTTTCATGTTCTCAGACCGACTCCTTTTTACTCTACTCCGTCCTTTATTTTAGGTGGCAGAGTGGTTTAGAGATGTAAATCATTGTTAGCCACACTATTGCATCTAAAATTTTCTCTTCTGCTTTAGTAGTTTAGTAGTTATTATGGTTATCATCTCTTTATTCTTAATTTGTTATTGCTGCAATACTTGTATATTGTGCTCGCTAAATTGATTTCTTTTGAACATCTTATCCTTCATTTCTTGTTTTAAGCTATTATTCTCCTTTGTTCTGTACTTAAATATGCCATGGGGGTTAAGTTGACTCCTTGTTAATACCTTCCCACTTGTTAGTTACTTTTGGTATTTTATTCTCCTTGTGTCCATTACAGAGTGACATTGTCAGCTTTTCTGCCATATCCGAGTACGATTTGGCAGCAGAGGGGGATCTGTTCAAGGCTCCTGAACCTATTTTTGAAGAACCAGTTATGGACCTGGATCCTGTGGCCGCAGCCATCTCAATGATATCTTGTGGGGAAGATGTCTCATCACAGGGACTAAAATCCGCCGACATCGATGCTCTTCAAAGTGAGCAACTTCTGAGTGAGGTATTCTATGAATGCAAGAAGGATCTTTTAGAGAAGACTGCAACAGAGTCACCACTCTCTGAGATTCTGGATATCAAGGTTCCTGTTCTCAATACAGATGAAAGTAAAATTCAAGTAAACAAACAAATTCCTGACATGCTATTACCAAAAAGTGTCAGTTTGGAATGTTTGAGCTCAATGGACTGGATGCAAGGAGCTGTAATCAAGCCTGCCTTTCTTGAAATGCCCGGAATAGATCTCAATGAGGTTTATGGCATGCGGAGGGCATTTAGCGAAGGAGATATTAAGGTCAGACCTATCACCTGACTGACTTATATTTGCTCCATTCCTAGTGAAGCATTTTTTTCAGTGGGTTTAAATTCTTGAAACATCTAGCAGCATCAAGCTGCAAAGGGAGTATCTCATATGACGTTAGAAGTAGTCCATGAATTTCAGGGGAGAGAGTTGGCGAGGGGGACTATGGCAAACTTTAGTAGGTGTATGCAAGAGATCTGAAAACACTACAGATTTGGCAGGAACCATAAACTAGAGTTTGATCCTTGATATTTTCAGAATTTCATTTCTTTCCCAAATATTTAGACTAAAGGAACGAAATTAATAGCTATATAAGCTAGTACGGTGAAAAAAAATTAGCTAATGTTGTGAAGCTATTAAAATCTTCAGACTATGTCAGGGTCTCCTTCCATTGGCTCTACACGGTGAGAATTTGATGCTACCTTCTAAGCTCTAATTTGGCATATGCCAAGTATGCTTGTTATCTTGCTGCTCAAACAACAATCTTTCCTTATAATACCCATCCCCGATTTATTGAGATATGCTTATGTGAGGGGCATTCAGTGGCTGCTCTTAAAGTACAACAACTATTCTGTTGAAAGAATCAATCCTTTTGTCTTTGGCATGATATGACCACTTTCTTATATTATGGCATACCGGAATATGTTGCCACTTTGTGGAACTAACGGTTTGAATAAATGGCTGATACTTAGCCTAAATTCAATTCAGTTTTCACTTCTCATTAATAATTTGTAGACAGAATGCATGCTTTCAATTTTGTGAGTAGGCATATCTGTTACACAACCGTTTAGAGCATGTTCTTGATCTGATACAGTTAAAGCATTTAGTGCGGTAACTCATTCTTTTGAATATAGCTCCAATTTAACAGGCATATGCAATAATTATGTGAATCCTCGCTCCCCTTATTTTTCTCTCCGTTCAGAAAAAGTAGACTTAAGGCAATCATACTTCTTTTTGTGAAACAACATGCCTCTCCACTCTAACATGTTCCCACATTTTGTCCCTCCATTAATGATGGATAGTTTGTTTGACATCTATTGATTTACTTGAAGTTGAATACCAATTCACGTTGTGAGATTCATAGACTTGTGGCCATTTTCCAAGGATGGGGCTAGATTATTGATACCCCTTTTTTTTTGGTGACAGGCTCTTGGTAATGGCAATTGTAATGTCAACATCGTCCAATCTCCTCTCGAGAGGCCCCTTGTTATCAGCAACTGCACCAGTGAGGAACGCAGAGAAAAGCTCTCCAGATACAGGAATAAAAAGACAAAGAGAAATTTTGGCAGGAAAATCAAGGTAAGAAAATAAACCCGTCGTTTGAACTAATTGGGTATTTCGTATGAACAGGAGCTTTGTAAATTGTAATGTACATAATGCGGAGAATGCGTTGCCTTGTAACTGTGTTTCTTCATATGATGGCACATGTTCTATTTATAATCCTCGTCTGACGAAATCCACTTTGGCATTTTCTGACTCGGCAATCAACATGTTCTATTTTTGAAAAAAAAAAAAAATCCCATTCTGTGCAGCCTGCTGGTGGAGAACTACTGCTTGATGTGATGTATCATGTTAGCACTCTTCTCTTCCATCAGTTTCTTGGACTTATTGATCACACCTTTTGTGATTCTAAGTATGGATAAGTAGTTTGTTTCATGAGCGTAATCATTACTTCATCTGTTGAAAGCTCCTGAAAGTTTTACTCTTCAATGCTGTAGTTTTATGATCAATGACGTCAGAACCTGCTTCAGTAATCATGCCTAATTCTCGCCATGGGTCAAGTCTTATAATGTTATGCATTAGTTTCATATTCATTTACACTAATTTCAGCATATATCAGTAGATTCTGAATTCTGAAATACCGCCTCTTTTTTGTTTCCCCCTTCAGTATGCTTGCCGGAAGGCTTTGGCAGACAGTCAACCGCGAATCCGGGGAAGATTTGCAAAGACTGAAGAATCTGAGATCAAGAGGCAATAATTTTGAATGGATCTAGTAAAATATTTAAGCAGGAATCAAGTGGCTAGAAGTCATGCAGCTAAAAATGGAAGCGCTTAATAGTGATGTGCGCATGGAGATGATGGCGGAGTTTCAAAACTGAGGCGGGTATTGCTAGTTGCTAAATAAATAGAGATAAACCTAAACTACCTCAGAGTAGAAGATCAGGAGGGTGGAATCTACTTTGTGGACCTGTGTTCATCTCTGCTGCAGTATCACCTTCTTTGTAGACAGAAACGGCCTTCTAGATTTGTATATAGGTTTGTTAAATAAATAGAAGGGAAAAAAGGTTCCACCATGTTTATATATATATTATTTCGAAATAAAATGCTATTCTCTTGGTACTTTTCTGATATGGACATTTGAGTCAAACGCTGTCACCGTCGTATTTATTAGAGCCTAACTACACTAGATGCTTCTCTTGTTAACATTGAATGCAGAATGGTAAAATTTCATTTAAAAAAATAATAATCCAGGCCCCAGAGAATATCGGCATTTGATTTTTGAAAGGTATAATCCCGCGTTGTTGATACCCAATCATCACTCATTGTTTAATTCTTGTTTTATAATTATATCTACGTTAATTATGTACCTTATGGGCTAGTGTTGAGCATTCATATTAATCCATAACATAATATGTTAAATTTAAATTATTGGCATACATGTCATGCGTTATATCAGTATAAGTGTATATGCTTTTTAAATTTTGTTATTCCAACTCAACTTTTGTTCCCCTTTTCTTGGAGGAAACTTCATGTTGAATGAGACAGCCTGTTGGAATATTTTAAATATAATGTGGATTTGCATTAATTTTTTGTTATCCACATGTTTTTTCATTGAAGGTAATTTTATTTGAAGTACTATCAAGTGCCAAATATGAGTATTTCTCATAAAAGGAATTTAAATATTGATTTATTATATTATAAAAGATTAATTCCTTCTATTAAATTTAACATTTATTGGTGTGCATTAATTAATATTGAGTTAGGAATATGTTGACCTTTTATGATTTTTTTTTTTTGTATTGTAGCAAGTAGATCACATAAGCTTGTCCCTTGAGTAAATGCTCAACTTACAATCTTTTAGCAATAAGTTATTTTCCTCATCTTTTAATTATCTAGGTCAAGATGATTTGAGAGAATTAAATGAAATAATTAGTTAATCATATGTATTCCTTCCGTTGAAAAAATTAAGGTATTTTTAATTAAATTTTATCTTTCAATAAGGTAGTTACTTACTTTTTAACCAATCCTATCTTTTTATATTTACATATATTGAATACCATATAATAAATATAAAGTTATTATCAATATGGATACTTTTAAAAAAAAAAGGCAATAATTATATTTTAAAAGATTAAAAATGTCTTATATTTTTTCATATTTAATATTTTAAAAAATGTTTTACAATTTTTTAATGGAGGGAATATATAAATGAATATTACCATAGTCCTCAACAGCTTTTATTTCTCCATCTTCTACACTTTTTCATATTTCTCTGCACCCTTGATTCCTTGAAGTATCAAGTCGGTTTATCAAGTGGGTTTAGCAGGTTATGAATCTGCCTGCTTTTAAGCTTATTGAGATCCTTAATAGAGTTTGTAGTTAAATTTAGCTCTGATCCTTGTATTTATTTATTGAGATATTTTTAAACAGAATCTTGTTCGTAATATGAAATATCATTCGGTGCAACTTACAGCCCTGAATCCAACCTATGTCTATGGACCAGAGTTCATCATGCTAGCCTCACGCTTGCTGCTTTCTAATCAGAACGTCAGGATCGAAGAATCAATCATCCATCCATCACTATATCATCAAAATCAAACAAAACAAACAATATCTATATAAAGTTGCATTATTTACTGTCAGATAACGAGGTTCATTTATTGGCATGATACACTGAAAATTTGTCTAGCTCATGTTTATAACAAACTAATCCGTGTAATTAATTATGAGTGCACTTTCTCAGTTACTGGATGACAGCAGCTTTCTCTAGCACCTACGAACGGGGTTTGACGCGAAAATAATAGGGTTTGTTACGAAGAAGGGAATAATCTAATTGGTCAAAGAAAAATAGCACAATATTTACATTTCTCAGGTGAAACAAAAATGAGACAGTGAATCGTAACCAAAAGGTATTGTACTATCGAAATGAAGTTTCGGAACAGATAAAAGATTCTCTGGGAGTAACTTTGTTGCATTCGTAAAAGGTCGAAACGCATAATATTTGGAATCCAGGCAAGAAAAAGAGTGGGAGAAGCGTAAGTTTGGAAAACAGGGGAATCAGTATCTAGCTGCATTATTCATCAAGTCAGCAAAATTTTACTGAATAAATTCGAATTTTATATAATTTATAACTATAATTATGATTCTACGGCATGATTAGAGATATAAAAAAATAAATATAAGAAAATCCCACTTGGTTCTCATGTTCCTCTTTCAGTCATATAAAAGATCGAAATATGATACCGTGTGCAGCAGTGTAGGTCCAATCTAGCTAAACACCGGCGGTTCACTCCGACGCTACGATTTCATGGACTATGAACAAAACTTCATCGTTCCGTTGCAACACAATTTCATAGCCCTGAAGGAAAATCGTTGACCTTCGCTCTTTCTACATATAATCCTATCTCATCGTTTTTCACTTTCTTTTTACTCTGGGTTCGCATCTTCTCTAATCCAGGCGTCACCTATGCCTCGCTAGCTTGTTCTTATGACATCCAAATTTTGCTACGTCATATATATATATTTATATATAATAAGCAGGCAACCTGACCTTTATCGCGTGGTGAAATTTTAAACAGGGATAACAATTTAGTTTTTTTTTTAATATAAATTCTGCCGGCACAGCTCTACCGGTGGCCGGCGTTTCATTTTGCTAGCTCGAAATAAAATTCCCGATATGATCTTTGAAACAGTAGTCATCGTCTCTATTTCTGTACCAGTCATCTCTTTGCTCTTCCTGCAGAAAAATAATGAAATCTATACGTTCGTTGTAGATCTGACAGCTCAGCCCCGTTGGAGAATCTCTTCATAAAAGTTTCGGAAGCCATACACTCTTCTTCACGCTACCGTGAAGGATAAAACATGATAACACGCCCATAAAGTCACGAGCTTCAAAACGCGGATTTATATTCGTTACTCGTCCGATAAAAGAAAAATCTGTTTTTTTTTTTCGTTTTTTCGGCTTTCTCTTAATTTTAGAGCTGATGTCTGTCTGAGACACCAGACTGAGACTGAAAATCACTCCAGTCACATGGTGCATAGAAAAGCAACACCAGAACCTGAGCTGAGACTGGATTAGCCAAAAAAAAAAAAAAAGAATTTTCATAAATAGAAAAATGAAGTCAAACCCGCTTTTAGCGACAGTGTCATGCAGACCCGACTATGTTTTTCAGATTCACCAATCCACCCACCTCATAAAAACCACCCACCTGTTATACATGTCTTCGTCTTACATATTCATGTTTAACGAACGCCGAACCAAACGCCATCTCCAATCCTCACATATTGCGAATCTTCCAGCCCATTCATCGTGTTACAAGCTTACAAAAGAAAGTAAGTTTTTTTTTTTTTTTCAAAATCTAAAAAAACTGATACTTCAATTTACAAGTGTCAGAGTTAGCTGGGCTCGAGTTCCACTGTAGCACGTCGTCCTCTTACAAGCGAAACCAGAGAAGAGAGACTTTGCCGAAAACAAGTTTGTAGCGTTCGGCCACCATATGTTTGGAACAAGCACAACCACCTTAAATGATGAAATTCCCGTATTTGCCCACAAAGGATTCAAAGAAGATGATAAAACCACAGAAATATTTCCATTACTACAACGGAGCTCAAATGTTGCACCCTCCGCACCGGAGATTACAAAACTTGCCATTAATATACAAATTTCGGATTTTAAAAGTAACCCAATTGTACCACACCATCTTCGAAAGCACAAAATTCAGAATCACACCAAATCGTGAACAATCTCATGTTCGTTGTAGTGAACATTATGACTCCGGTTTTCTTGGAACAAATTTGGGAGCGGAAATTTTATTTAGTCATTATTTAGATGTTATTTGTATAGCCAGTGAGTGATTCTCTGGATGGAAAATTTGGATGGAGGCGAAGCCATTACCCATTAAAAAAGCTCGGAAAGATGGCTAGGAAGAAACCCGGCCCATGTTGCTGAACCAGATTGCCATCACCGAGCTCGCGACTTGGGAAGAAGAAATTGCGCTATGAACACGTAAGGCGCAAGCTAGACTCTGCCCCATTCACATACATTACATCCCAACACACTCAGGATAACGCCGAGCCTTCTCTCTCTCTCTTTCTCTCTCTTAGTCCTACTCTGTCACCCCCACCCTTTTCTTGTTTACACCATCTTCTCTCTCCCTCTCTATAAAAAAAATCGTAAATTATATCCTAACCTATGTGAGAATTTTTTCCATTTCTCTCTGGCTTGAGGCTTCTATAAAATATAAATACATTTCAATTTGTACGAGAAATAGCATATTTTGTTTACGAATTCCTTAAGTTTTCTCTCTCTCTTTCTGTGTGTTCGGAGGCAGTTGGTGAGAGCTTGCCGAAACAGATCCCCCTTCTTGCAGACTCTGCTATATCGATCTTTTTGATCAAAGTTCCTGACATTCCCTTACTCAATTTCCTCTTTTTCCTCGAACTTCCTTGTCGGGCCTCTCTATCTGTCTGTTCGGAATTTCTGCTTGCTTCCTGGGTCGGATTTTGTCTGTTGCTCTGTTTCTGGGAATTTATTTCAAATTAGGGTTTATGGGCTATATTTTCGAAATTGGCTCTTCGACGTGAAATTTGTGGGGCTCTGGTTGTTTGAATTCTGATCGAAGTTGTGACTTTGATTAATGCTGTGATATTTCCCGTTGAGAATGATAATCAAGCGGAACCTGAAAACCCAAATGCCGAGTCTGAAACGGTGCAAACTCGGTGACTCGGCTGGGGACGACGATGACTGCTCTGCGGCTCGAAAGAAGAGGAAGGCTAATGGGTATTACCCTTTGAATCTTCTCGGTGATGTCGCCGCCGGTATACTTCCTGTTAGCTTCCATGGCTTACTAGGCGCTGGTGTTTCTGAGAAGGGCTTCTCTGCATCATGGTGTGCGGAAGTCTCGTGCTCCCCTGTTGAGGCGGAGTCAAAGTCGAAGGGCCCAAACTCTATAACAGCTAAGATGAATCGGCCTGCGGAGGAACCACGGCCGCCGCTGGTCAGAACGTCAAGGGGCCGAGTTCAGGTACTCCCTTCGCGTTTCAACGATTCAGTTATTGAGAATTGGAGGAAAGAGAGTAAGACGAACTCTCGTGATTATAGTTTTGAAGACGAACTTGATAGTAGAAAGGAGAATAGTTTTAGGACAGTGAAATCATACAATCAGAATACCAGAAAAGGGAGAAACGATGATAAAATTGGCTATAAGTCTCGGAAATATTCGGCATTATATGAGGAGGAGGATGAGGTAAGAGAGGATGGGCCTGTAAGGTGTAGGAATTTTGATACGAGGAGGTATTCAACTTCTAGCGCACTCAACCTAAAGCGCGAGCAATTAATTGAAGATGAGAGACGCGGATTTATGTATATGGAGGAAGTTGATATAGCAGGCAACGAGAGATTTTTGAAGGAGAATGACGAGAAAAAGGATGGATTATATGGACCCGAAGACTTTTACGCTGGTGATATAGTGTGGGCCAAAGCAGGAAAGAAGGAGCCCTTTTGGCCGGCCATTGTTATCGATCCAATGTCTCAGGCGCCTGAGTTGGTCCTGAGGTCTTGTATAGCTGATGCAGCTTGTGTGATGTTTCTTGGGTACTCTGCAAATGAAAGTCAAAGGGTATATAAGTGTCTTCCAATTTAGAGCTTGTTTCCTATATAATATGTATTGTAGGATAAAATAGTCGCTTACTGTGTGATATGATGATACTGAGCAGGACTATGCATGGGTGAAGTATGGGATGATTTTCCCATTTATAGATTATGTAGACAGGTATTCTTGGTCGTCTATTAAATTCTTTAAATTTGTCATTTAATTTCATTGACAAAAGATTTATGCTTATTAGGAAACATATCACTATGTTTAGGTTTCAGGGACAGGTGGAATTGAGTTACTATAACCCTTCTGATTTCCAAGTAGCAATAGAAGAGGCATTCTTGGCAGATCGGGGATTTACAGAGAAGTTGATAGCAGATATAAATTTAGCTGCTGGCAACACAGGGTTCGATGAAACCTTTCCAAAAGGCATACAAGAGGCCCCTGGTGCAAAGCAGTATGCAGGATATCACTTCCTGAGCCAGGTCAGTTTACAGTTACCCTTTAACATCAGGGGAGCTATTTGCTGTTGTGGTGATCATGTATCATATCTGTGGGACACCTAAGAGAAGTTGATGACTTGCATTTAGCTCACAACTGGAAGTTGACATTCATTTTACTTGGTCCTCTTATTTGTAGGCCGTTGTCTAAATTGCATATTTTGACATAATAATTCTTCCTTCCCAAACCCCACAAAAGTGCTTGAGTGGGGATAATACTGAAGTCCTTTCTTGCTTTAGCTATTTACTCCTCCTAATTCTACGCAGGAATTTTTTGATAAGAGGAAAGAGACACGGCCCTGTGAAGCTTGTGGCTTGGATCTTCCTTTCAAAACGTCAAAGAAAACAAAGGAATCAACCCCTGGTGGTCAAATTTTATGTAAAACATGCGCTAGGGTTTGTCTGACTTTCCTTTTTCTGCAGACGATTTTTATATAAGTTCTGCTCTGGAGCATCATGAATGAAGTTGTCTGTTTTGTAACGTGTCTATCTTTATATTTTGTATGGCAGTTAACAAAATCAAAACATTATTGTGGCATATGCAAGAAAATTTGGAATCATTCAGATAGTGGAAGCTGGGTGAGTGAATTGGATGCTCTTATGTAATCAAGGTTTATGTTTTGCCTCTGCAAAACAAGGCTTTTTCATACTAAATGTAAACCCTTTGAAGGTGCGCTGTGATGGATGTAAAGTTTGGGTGCATGCAGAATGTGACAAAATTTCCAGCAACCTTTTCAAGGTTTTTACGCTACACTCAATAACTGAATTTTTCTCCTTTCTTGACATGCAAAACTTGTAGAGACATTTCAGTTTTTCCTGATATATTTTCTGTTTTTAAGAATCTTGGAGGAACTGATTATTACTGCCCGACGTGTAAAGCAAAGTTTGATTTTGAGTTATCCGATTCAGAAAAGTCACAGCCAAAAGTCAAGTGAGTATTTTATAATTATTGTACTTTACGTCACACACTTGCCCTTTTGTATCTTAACCTATTTATTGCTTGTAAAGTTTTCATGAACACCATGCCAGGTGTTAGGATTTAGTTCAGCTGCTGATTCAAACATGTTTATATGTTATTTTAGAAATATTGATCTTTTTTAATGATATGTATTCTAATGATTAAAGAGGCTTTTTCACAGATGGAACAAGAACAATGGGCAGCTAGTGCTGCCAAACAAAGTTACTGTTCTCTGCAATGGTGTGGAAGGCATTTATTTTCCCAGCCTTCACTTGTAAGCATTTACATAAATTGTCCCTGGTTGTTCGGTAGCTAATTCATTAGTCTTTCTTGCTTTGAAATGTAATAAATTAATTGGTTTATCTCTCAGATTGGAATAGATTAACTCCTTTTCTAGATTATTTATTAAAACAGTCAGTCGTAAATGAAGGGCCATTATCACAATCGTCAAAATTGACAAATGAAAGGGTGCAGAAAATCATGGATATTTCCATGGCAGGGGCTCGCTCATCTTTTGTATCTGTTGGATATGGAAAACGTCACATGCCCTTTTCTGACATTTTTATGTTTTGATCTCTGGCTGATGTTAATTGATTGTTAGTATTACTTTTTATTCTGGAAATCAACTAATTTCAAATCCTTACTTTGGGTTATAAAATAGAGAGATTTGGTTTTCATGGCTTCAAATAATCTCCTTTTCCAGAGTTGTGTGCAAGTGTGGTTTTTGCGGGACAGAGAAGCAAGCCCTTAGTGAATGGGAACGGCACACGGGTTCCAAATCAAGAAATTGGAGAACAAGTGTTAGGGTGAAAGGCTCTATGCTCCCGTTGGAACAATGGGTTTGTATATGAGTATATTGTTTAATTTGACACAATCTGCTGCATTTCAAATCTTGAAAGTCCACTACTTAATCAGTTACTCTAATATAAAATAATTTTTATAGCATCTGATTATCTCTTTGACTCATTACTATGTTGTATCTAAGATAACTGGAATTTGATGCATAAATCATACGAATTAGTATTTTTAATAAAAAAATTCTAATTTCTGGTCTGGGATTTACTGTTATTATCACCTTTTTTAATCAATATTAATATTTACTGTTTAACTACTATGTTGAATTCTATTCTTGAAATGCTTAATGATACTGACCTGTTAAGAAACACCAATAATGGTAGTGGTCTTTGCCCATTTTTTGGAAGATATGTATCATATAGGTTTAAATGGTTTAGGCTTAGGATATGAGTACATTGAACTGATGCAGATTTATTCAATTACTCAGATGTTGCAGCTGGCAGAATTTCATGCAAATGCTCAAGTTTCTGTCAAACCTAAAAAGCCTTCATTAAAAGAAAGGAAGCAGAAGTTGCTCGCATTTTTGCAAGGTATTATTTTGCCGCTTACTTATATTTATATTTGTCATTTGAAAAGGGCGGCCAGTTATATATACAGATATACATATATCTATCTCAGAGTGATGATGGTACTGCCAATTATTTTCTTAAACAGAGAAGTATGAACCAGTTTATGCTAAGTGGACAACAGAACGGTGTGCTGTGTGTAGATGGGTTGAAGATTGGGACTATAATAAAATTATCATTTGCAACAGGTAATATTATCACTTATCATCTGATGATTCATCTTAACATATGTATCTTCAAGGAACAAGGATGTTGGATTAAAACAAGTTGCATTCATCTAAGGATTGTAGCCTATAAATGTGCTTACATATTGAGGTTTTCGATAATCAACAGCACACTATAATTAATTTTTTGTGTATTCTAACATATGATATACATGGGCCATATGTGCCCCATCTTATGCTTTTAGTCGCATTACATGTGTACATCATAGTCTGCTATTCTGCGTCATCATTTTAAGACGGTTCTCATGGTGATTTATCAATCATATCTTTCACAAATGAGAATGAACGCATACAATGCCAGACACCTTTATTTCCTCTTGAAAAATGACTCTGAATCAAGAAATTTGTGCTTGCTGTATTCTTTTACTGTGTTTGGTGGAGTGCATTACAATCAGTTTGAATATATGTTGATATGTTATATATGTTTTCAGATGTCAAATAGCTGTTCATCAAGAGTGCTATGGAGCAAGAAATGTTCGAGACTTCACATCGTGGGTTTGTAAAGCTTGTGAAACACCTGACATGAAACGGGAGTGTTGTCTTTGTCCTGTAAAGGGTAAGCCTTCACATTTGAAATGCATGAGATAAAATTGTTCCTTTTTTATAATTCAGGGATGTTTATATTTCACCTCTTTCTGAAATAATTCATGTCTTATTTTCCTTGCTGAGAATATTTTGCTTTTTTTTTTTTTTTTACTATTATTGTGAATGCTTTAATTTTTTTCATAAAGCTACGGTAAAATTTGCTTTCCTCCAGGAAAAAAGTTCCTTATGCATTTGATCTTTTGCTACTATATTCTGCCCCACAGGTGGTGCACTAAAGCCAACCGATGTGGACACACTATGGGTTCATGTCACTTGTGCTTGGTTTCGACCTGAAGTCTCTTTTGCAAGTGATGAAAAGATGGAGCCTGCTTTGGGAATTCTGAGTATTCCGTCTAATTCTTTTGTGAAGGTGGAGTGTCTAATCTGTTTAGTACCTTTTGTTTTGGGGTTCAACCGAGAATTGATGTTACTAATTACTATTAATTTATGATGCATTTCAACATTGAGATCAAATTAAAGTAAAGCTGTCTATATAAGTAGACTTTGTGGCTATGAACATATTCTGTAGTTATAGTGCGATACAATGTTGTGGTAGACAAAGCTTTCCCCTGCAAATCAATGTTAGTTACAATTTAAAGTCACTTCTTTCTTTGTGCTTTTCATGTTTATGCATACCATACCACACAATAATGCTGAAGAGTATCTGATTTTTTTTAAACCTCAGGGAGTAGGAAATGATCTACATTGCAAAATTATTACTTTGATTATCATTTAGTCTCTTGGTCAATCTAAAGGCTTCCTTATTTACTTAAATTTCAGATTTGTGTTATATGTAAGCAAATTCATGGTTCATGTACACAATGTTGCAAGTGTTCCACTTATTTTCACGCCATGTGTGCGTCGAGGGCTGGATATCGCATGGAGGTGAGTATTCATCAAGATTGACCTAACTTGTATTGGCATATATATATATATATATTTTTTTTTTTGGTCCCAAAAACAGGTTCCATGTCATTCACATTTTATTCCCCTAGTTGAACTATATGGACTTTAACAGGATAAAATCGCTGGTCCTTATGTCGTAAGACTCAGAAGGGTTATAATAACATGTACTAGAGTTTATATGGTTGAAAGTTCTGCCTGAAAAAATGCTTTTATGCATTAGATCTTATTTTAATGTATTCCACGTTTTGTCTAACATTTATTTTGCCTATATGACATCATCAATCTGTTTGTGTTAATGTAATTTAAGATATTTGTAAGGCCGCTATCCCATAATACCAACGTTCCTTTATAGTAAAACATAAATCCTAGTAGCTACAGGTTTTGATAGTAAAATATTTTTGAACATGTCAAGAACTGGTTATCTTATCTTATTCTTATAATTTGGCTGATAATGAAGAGGATGCCTATGGTGCTATTACAAACTTGTGTGTGTGTGTGTTTGAATAATTATATGAAAATCTAACTAACTGTTTGTGTTAATATTGACATGTCAAGAATTCGTAGAGGCAGCCTGTTACAAATAAAGCAGTAAAGCACAATGATCTTTTCAGAACTGCTGGATAAATGTGAACTCCAATGCCAATTCAAAACAAAACATATTGTTGGCATGATAAAAGTCTTAAACATAATAATAATGACAGTGATACACTTAGCACTTCTATGAGCCCCCTATGCAATCTTGATCTAGTATTTCTCATTCTTGCCTTCTTTAAGTTGATAAGTTGCATTTATTCTATGTGACGGTAATTAATTGAATTTTCTCTCCTTCGAATGTAGTTGCATTGTTCGGAGAAAAATGGTAGGCAGACAACAAAAATGGTTTCTTATTGTGCATATCACAGGTATGGGATCCTCACTTGGAAAAAAGAAGGCTATTACTATTTTTCTTTTGTTGCTTTCTGGAGTTTCTACAGGGTTTGCTACTGCCCACAGTTGTAGTCTAGACTGTTCAAAACTGTACATCTTAGTTACGGTGGGTTTTAATTTTGTCCTTTAGTGTTTATCGTGTTTAACTCTTTTCAGGGCTCCAAATCCAGACACTGTTTTGATTATGCAAACCCCTCTTGGAGTTATTTCTACCAGAAGCCTTCTCCAAAATAAGAAAAAATCTGGGTCAAGGTTAATTTCATCTAATAGAATAAAGCTAGAAGACACTCCTGTAGAGAACAATGAGGATGAACCATTTTCTGCCGCAAGGTGCCGTGTCTTTCAAAGAACAAATCTCGGCAAAAAGGTAACTTGGAGAATTTTTGTCCACAGCGATGATGCTTAAAAGATAATACATGACATAACAATGTTATTTACCTTTTGTTTGTTGTCTTATTTATATTTCTGGTTAAGGTTCTCTTGTGCTTAAATATGAAAATATATTAATCTGTTGCTAATAAATGATTAATGCTACAACTGACAAGCAATCAAGGATGCTTTAGTAAATGGTCCTGCTTGCATTTGCATGAGTGTAACTTATCATTAGGTGTATTGATGAAATACCATGTCTAATTCTCTGTGTCTTCCTTTGCATCTGTCTTCTTTATCTAGCCCTTGTGTTTCCTCTTCTGTGTAATGATGCTCTTTTTGTAGCTTGATGAGGTACTTGCTAGACAGCTAACATTTATAATATATACATTTCTACTTGTCAGAGAGCAGCGGATGAAGCCATTTCTCATCAAGTTAAAGGTCACTGCCATCATCCTTTAGACACTATACAGAGATTAAATGCATACAGGGTAAAAGTGTTTCATTTTTTCCCCTTTTCAAATTAGATTGCATTTTCCATTTGTTTTAAAGCTTGAATTCTAGACTGAAACTGATGCATGATTTGGCCAAAAAAAAACTGATGTATGATTCCCCCTTCTCCATTCCCTTTTCTTTTCTTTTCTTGTGTTTTTCCCTTACAGATAATGGAGGAGCCTCCAACATTTTCTTCTTTTAGAGAACGTTTGGACTACTTACAGGTAAGCCTTCTCTTTTTCAGCGACATTATGTTTTGGCGATAAATTCCCTGACTGCAAAGTGGGTGCATATACTTCTATCCAGAGAACCGAAAATGAACGCGTTTGCTTTGGTAGATCGGGGATACATGGATGGGGCCTCTTTGCACGTAGAAATATACAAGAAGGAGAAATGGTATGAACATTATGCTTATACATTGGTATTTTACGAAGATCCTTTACTTCTGATTTTACTTGATTAATATTAATGAATTTAGGGAAAATTACACCTCTTCTCCATGAAGTAGGAAGAGGAAAAACCAGAATATACTGCCAATCCTCCCTATAACAGCTGATAAACAAAAATCAGAAAGAAGAGAAAACAGAATTTCCAGCCTGACTTTTGAGAGGTCGGGTACTGCTTGTTTCTATTCTGTCCGTTCACGCTATCCTGCACTAAGGGCCCTTGGCTATATCCATCCCCATTCTCGCATACAGTTAGCATTTTGGTGTTGGGTCCATCAATTCCTTATCATGTCTGTCGATCACTTGTTGCTGATGAATTCTCTTAATTGATACTGGGAAGGCCCTGGGGTATTACTCTGTAGGCGCATTTGAAAGCCTAGCAGAAATGAAATATTCAATTATATTCTGTAAATAGAGTGGCACGTGAAAAAAAAAAAAAAAACACACTCCTCAGCAGTTACGTCTTCAGGACATTTTTTTTATAATCCAAACTTAGTTATTATTATCCTGCTCATTTGTGAGAACCATTCAAACATTGTGTTAATGCTGGTCATCAACTTAATGTTGTGATGAGATTCAAAGTTAGTTATTTGGCCCAATAGAATATCTTAGCAACCCTTGGTCATCAAAGTCATTTGGCACACTGACGACAAATAATGTAGTGTTTGAAGACATGGTTTAGCATGGATGCTGGCAAGGCAGTTTCTATATCCTGCGTGTTTTAACACTTCTTCGGTAACTTTGGTCTTATGAATTCTTCTGGAATGGTTTTTGGTTCAAGTGTTTTGCAAAACATATTACTCGAAATGTGATCTTAATAATGGCAGCTTTATAATATTATTTTCTTAATCTTATCATATTAGAGCATTTATTGCACCAATAATAGTGAGCATGACATAATGCTGAACAGGTTCTTGAATATCGCGGTGAACAAGTGAGACGCAGCATTGCTGATCTGAGGGAGGCGCATTATAAGATAGAAGGCAAAGATTGCTATGTGAGTTGAATTCGATTCATCAACCCAACCCCTACATTAATATGACTTTTGTAATGTCCACAATTGCCTTAGTTTCTTGACGGTGACTCGGACTCCATGTTTGGATTTGATGCTGAATATTGTCTTGTTTTATGCATGTTAGTCAATAGCCACACGCCCCTTTGCTTTTTGCTTTTGCACGGAAGAGCTTCCCTTATTTATTTGTGTGTGTGTGTGTGTGTGTAAGTTTGGGAGTTTGGGGTGCTTGAAATTCTTTGAAATAATGTTCCCTGTTGCTAGTGAGAATTTTCAGGTCAGCTTGACCATCTGGAATTAACAGCTATAAACTGTCATGGTTTCTTGTTTTCGTAGCTTTTTAAAATAAGTGAAGAAGTGGTGGTAGATGCCACTGACAAAGGAAATATTGCCCGGCTTATCAACCATTCGGTAAGTCGATCTAACTTGAAGTGCAATATTGGCAATATTGTGTGCACATCATTCATGGTTGTCTCATTTCTTACCGCTGCCTGATTCTTGTAGTGTATGCCGAATTGCTATGCAAGAATTATGAGTGTGGGTGATGATGAGAGCCGTATTGTACTCATCGCGAAGACCAATGTTCTCGCTGGTGATGAACTAACGTATATCTCTCTCCCTACATGCACGTTCCACTTGTGTTGTCACCCTGTGTATTTTCATTCAATTCTTTAATTTGTTGCGTTGGTTGCATATGGCAGGTATGACTACTTGTTTGATCCCGATGAGCCAGATGAAAACAAAGTGCCATGTTTGTGTAAAGCTCCAAATTGCCGGAAATTCATGAACTAGTAAATATAGATGATGATACCTTGATAGAACATTTGCTGGGTCACTTTCCAAAAGTTAGCTTATGAGGTTAGTTCATATTACACTCCTATTGTTTCTCCGCAAGGATCACTAACCCTTCCATCCCTCTTCGGCGGGTCTTTTACAGTTTATACGCAATTTGTAATTCTGATCAAGTCTAAAAGCAAAAAATTAGAAAAATGTGTGTTTATCTTCTCTCTCTCTCTTTTTCCCCTTAGACATTCATTGAAGCCTAATAAAAGCTATAGATTTAGCAGCTTTTGGCTCCTGGTGTCTCTGTAAATGTCTTAGAAATGATTACCTTATTCTCACACTATATAATGCTAATTGCTAACCCACCCCCCCCCCCCTATCTTGCTGCTTCTGCAAGTTTTGACGTATTTTTCCCAGGATCTTCCAGTTGTATGGATAATATTGTTCACAAGACCCAAAAAGATGTCAATAAATGACGGAATCGTCATTAAAAAAATAGAAAGGATAAAATATGTTGAATAATTATTATAAATGTATGATATGAGGAAATGAGAATCTAATTCATTTGTTCGTACCAAACGAGGCACGGCTTTAATTTTTCACTCAACCCCCCTCTCTGATGATATTGGAATTTGGTGATGATGGCCTTTTGATATATTATTCAAGAGGGACCAGTTAGCTTATTTATCAAATAAAATTCAAGAGAGGTTCGTCCTGCAACAAAGAAAAAGAAAACAAAAAGAGACTGTTATCCAGTTATAGGGTATTGCGTTCTCTCAAGGGAAAATATTAGTTTGACATCTCTTTCGCCCCCTCTCTCTACATGTATACGTATGTGGCAGAAGTTTTTGGCCCTTTTTCTGTTTTTAATTTCCTTGTTAAAGAAAAGAAGTTTTTAACCATTAAAAATTCTCCGCAAGTTTTAGTTTTGCTTTGATTTGACATAATTTATTTTTTGTTACGATTTTAGAGAGATTCAATAACATTAATTTTTCATATTTGATATTTCCGCTCAAGCTATTAGTGAAATTTTTTGGTCTGACAAATACGGTTGGGTCAGCTCAAATGAGACCTGGATTGGGATAAAATCTTGACCCACACTGTTTTGCACCTCCTACGACGAATGACGGAATTGAAACAAAATCCAAGCCATTTTATGAAGGAAAACGGAATTTGAGTATAGGTGGTATAATTCGCTAGAGCTCCTTCATTGAGGATTCTTTTTGGATGCGAAAATCAGATAGGAATGCGATCGCCCAAAAAGAACCCAAAGATGCATGAATGAATTCGGGATGATGTATCGGTAATGGGTCTTTTTCTACTTTACAGGAAGGAATATAACCTACTTCGTTTGCAAAATTGTTCAAGATGTAAAGGATTGAAAATTCAAGTCTCTACTCTCATCTACATATGGGAGGGGAAAAAAAAGAGGAAAACTAAGTCAAATCGAAATAAAATTTTGAAGCAAAATCGAGATTTACGCAATTCTTCATCCAGTCTTGTGATCCATTGGGCAGGGAAGGAGATTGAGAATTAAAAGCTAAAAAAGTAGGAAGTGGAAGAGGCTGAAATTAAAGGAGATTGAGAATTAAAAGCTAAAAAAGTAGCAAGTGGAAGAGGCTGAAATTAATTGATCTGGTTTAGTCTGTCTTTCCGGTTCCAAATGGTGAAATCAAATAGTAGTGTTGTAAGAGAGAGAGAGAGAGAGAGAGAGAGAGAGAGAGAAGAAAAAGATGAATACATATGTATATGTATGTAAGAGCGCACCTTTTCTGTTTAAGTTGGGATGGCGAGGACGGAGCGACGGTGGAATGGAAGATGACGAATGATGTGGCATTATTGTGTGACAATGGACATGGAATCCATCTCCTCCGATTTTCATTTCTTTGTCCCACTGGTGCAGTGCTGACGCTCCCACGGTATTCAAAGGTGCTTCTGTGTGCCCTCCCTGTGTGCTCCGTTGTAACGGGTTTCGACTTCACTTACCCTTTTTACAAGATAAAACAAAAAGCTATCTCGCTCAAGTGAAACAGTGAAAGAACGCAAAAGAATTATGATGACATACGCTATGGCATTTGATGCATTGATATTTTAATTTTCAAAAATATTGAATATGATTTGTTTTTAATATATATATATATTTATAAAAAATATTAAAATTTTAATTTTAATTTTAAAAATATTCAAATTATCATACATATATAATCCTTTATAATAATACCAAGCAAAATTAAATTATTAATTGTATTTTTATTCTATTTATAGCTGGTTGCTTATTACTTAGTCCCTACTAATAAGTATATTATCAATATATTTTCCTCATTGACCATCATAATGATTGCATTCCCATGCTTTTATAATTAAGAAAAATATAATCTTTATTCTTTTATTACATCCAAAGCTTTTTTCTTTTTAGGAAAATTTAATTTTTGACTTTAAAAGCAAATCAAAAAAATGATATTAGCAATAAAAAATTTAATATAGCAATTTTTAAGAATTTTTTAAAATTGATTTTAAAGCATTAGCTCGCAATGTAAAAATTTCGAATACATATCAAAAACTGTTTTTTTTTTAATTTAAAAAATGTTATTTTGCTATTTTACATATATCTATCAAAGAAGTATTAACGAACATCAGCATTAAAGACAACACTGATATGGATATCAGTGCTTCATAGCTAAAAAAGCATTCATAATTTAAAAACTCATGATTAAAAATAATAATTAGTCATCGACCATGGCTCTTTAGTGATACTAACTTGCATTGTTTTTAAAATATAATTCATCAATACTCATTCAGTTTTTTTAGCATCACTAAAGATTCCCACTTTCCTTCCTTCCCTTCCCCTTTAAAATGTCAAAAAGGAACTGTACAATTAAACTAGATTGTGAGCTATTGTTTTACAGGCACTCTAAATTTATAATTCATGATAATTTGGCTAGATTAAGTATTATATATATAGAATAGAATATAGATGCATTTATGAAATAACAATTACTCTACAACTACTGTTATTCACTATATAAATTATACAGAAAAAATGGCTTCATTAAGTCTTAAGTAACAATCAACAAGTACTGTTATCCACAAAAGACCTCGCAAAGAGGAGAGCTGAGCCATTAACCCCACGCAGGACAAGAAGCCTAGAATCCACATACGTTCCGCACACCAACTTCGACAAATCAAACATTTCGGGGGGAACCTGCGTTCTAACTTCTTGAAGTACATTTCTTGCCGCACCAACATCTTTATTCAATGGATCATCAAGAGTCATATTCACATCAATGTCACCGGATACAAGCTTGGCTGCGGGAAGACTTGAGGGAAACTCCTTGAAAGGGATTACTTTTCTCCATTTCTTGCCAGATATTTTCTGAGCCAAGTCCAACTCGCTGCTGGAAGGACCAAAGGAGAACTTCTCTGTGGCCTTCTCTTGCTTCAGATATAACCGTCTCCCGGCTGTTAATCCGAATAAAGATTTCACTTCCAAACTCCCATTTTTACCAGACTTGTCATGAGGCCAGTCCTGACCGATCATGACAGTGAATCCAATGTTAGAGACGAAAGAAAAGTTAGCCTTTAACTTTGATGCTCTACTGACAGTAAGATGCACATCTCTGATGAGTACACGGGCAGGAGGTTGACGAAGGGTCAGCCCAATATGCTTCCCGGTGCAGTACAGAAGACGCCATTTGCCTGGCAGCAGCTCCAGCCAGTTCTGCTCACATACATGGTAACAAATCAGTTAGCATACTCTATTAAAATGATGACACCCGGAGTACATACCTCATGTTTTGTGTGTGTGTGTGTGTGTGTGAATATCAAGGAAAATCAATGATCTAGGCTGTATAATAAATATTTCAACATAAATCTTTCACTTCCAGCTGTAAGTAGCAGGGGTAGGGGAACACGACGATGCAGAATAAATAATTGAGACGGAATGACTGAAATAGGCATTCAAGAACTTGATTGAGGCCACAAGTCTAATATTGCGATCTAACAAAACAGGCAGCCAATGGACTATCTCTCAAGTAAAATCAAGCATACACATATTTCACTTCTTACCAAAATCTCTTTTAACAACTTAATTACCTTTGGCTTTGGATGAGGATTCAACATCTCCATTAACTCAATGAAGTGAGCAAGCCTATTTCGCTAAAAGACAGAAACAACAAATGTTAGTCCAGTCCTCATCTCGTACTTTCTGCATTTGAAAATTGTAATTTACTGCACTGATAGTTTACAGTGAAACATTAAAGAACAAATACATGCGAGACTTTTCTACGGAAAAACAAGAGGTCAACAGACACTATCAAACATAAAAGCTCCTATAGGAGGACCAATAAACTTGGGGAGTAACCAAGGGCCCGATCGCATCATGTTGTCATGGTTGGATGAATACCTGAGGCTGACGATAAATGTATTCCTCACTGATTCGCACAGCAGTTGACCCAAGACCCCATCGAATGATATCCATTGATGGGACTACTCGCCATCTTGGCCCACAAAGGAATGGGTGTCTAAGAGCGTCCAAACAACTGTATCACAATTCATATTGTCGATTAAGATCGTCATACCACAGATCCAAAATACATGCCTAACCAATACTTCAATATTTTAGCTACCAATAGTCACAGAAATTTCATGCATCTCAAACCCCACAAGACGATAGAAATGTGTTGCCACAAGATTGTGTCCACGAAAAGAAAGGCTAGAAAACTTATAATCTGCAGAACAAAATAACATTCAAGTTCTATCACAAAGAGGTGAATTTGGCTGGTAATATAGGAATTGACAAAATTAGTCCTTCAAACTTCAGCATCAATCAAGTAAGATTCCTTCATTCCTACTATGAGAGACCAACATTTGGGGAAAAAGGGTAACATTATAAACTTCACAACCTGCATTTTTTTCTCTAATCAGTAGACAAATATGGTGCATCTGGGCAATGATAATTCCCACAAGGACTTCCCTGTGTAGGTTGTTTCCCTTGTATTATATAGCTTGTGGCTCAAGTGTCAAATAAGCAACCAATCATTTACCCTGGACTTCTCTTGTATTATTTATGACACATGAAGTGGGAAACACACTATGTTGAAGAGTCTCGCAAATTAACAACAGCATTTTATTAAGTTCAAAATTTAAAAGAATTATAAAAAAAAAAATCTACCAATTACTTCAGGTTTTGAGCTGAATGCTTTAGCAAATAATTAAAGCTCACTTTACTATCTTCATGGGCTCCACAAGCAAACCCAACTAGGCCATTACTTTGGTTGGTGGTCTGGGGCTGAGCCATCATCCACCATTTCTGTTTGACCAGTCGCCCATTTTTACAGCTCG